TTAGAGGTATTCTCGTAATAACCTTATTATTATACATCTTTTCCCTTCAAGGATACATCATGGAAATGCCGAAATCCAAAAAGTTTAGAACAGAATCAGCGAACCTCTTTGTATGGAGTCCGGTCAAATCCTGGTGGCAGCCATGTTTGTTTTTATTATTCAAGGACGCTTACGCGCGTAATCATTCCATATTTGGAATTCACATTTCCAAATATGGTAGTATGAAAATACATGTACCCTGTAAAATACCGCAAAATTACGGCACGCTGTAACTTATGGTGTTATGGTGACAGATGTATAATAATATGAGTTATTATGAGAATACCTCTAAGTACGCACAAAGACAGTACAGTGGAAGGATAGACCGACATGCAGCGGAGGTCGATGAGGTATCATTTGAGGTATCCTCTAATAACCTTAGTATTAAACATCTTTTCCATTCAAGGAATGATGGGAATGCCGAAATCCAAAATTTTCAGAACAGGATCAGCGAACTTTTTTGTGTGGAGTCCGATCAAACCCAGTAACTGTAGCGTTACAGTGATAGACATATAATAATAATCATTATCACGAAATCAAATTTGTATCAATTCAAGCCATATATGAGAAGCACTCTGGAGGCGTCTACTGACGTCAACCAAAATAAAAATTATTACGAGAGTATATAGTCATCAAATTCATATCCGAAAAAATGAAACGCCAGAGAGTTGAAAGTGTCAACATGAGTCTTTCACCATAAACTGTAATTTTCAGGCATTATATATTATACAAGTATATAAAATTCTGAATGATCTGGACAATCTTGTAGTGTGTTCAATGAGAATAATTTCAGCAGTATGTGATGTCAAATTACGTAGAGAAACACACATTATGAATGTGAATTACTGGTTATCTCTTCCTATCTATTAAATTAGTTTCTGTTTACATTAAATTCTTTTACAAAAGCATAGGGAGTTCTTAACAATAACACATAAAGCATTACACATGATGCATTTTGTCATTTGATTTAAAGACCTTCTAGGTGAACATTATTGGGTTCAGAAAGATTTGCTTCGCTAATAAATTACTACAACTACACATTCAGTTTATTATTGTTTTTCAGGGTGGCTATAATTTAAACTCCATCTCTGTATCCATGGCAATGTGCACCAAGACATTATTAGGTGATTCCTGCCCTGTTATTGGTGAAATTATACCATGTGACTCAGCAGTGGACTCCATCTTATCTACCTTACATGCCCACAATATATACTGGCAGTCTTTACAATTTCAAGGTATGTAAAGTTATATCAGCGCTAACAGATACAATGCTATGACGTCACTAGCTAATTACTTTCATTATTGGATGTGTCAAAATTGAAAGCTTTCAACTAAGTTTTGCTGACAATATGAAATTATTGTTTTAATTATATACATGTACTGTTATTCATAAATTAATTAATCCATCTCTATATAATTCTTTTCTTTGTCACTGTTTTTTCCCCATACATTTTGACTACTCAGGAAGGTTTTCAGCTTTCAAGTACCTTGGGTGGTTGTTATATACAAGTTTCACTGTACTCCATAGTTTATAGAGGTTTGAAAAATTCACAGTACATGTGTGTATGTTGTAGTGTTTATATCCCATTATGGGGTCAGTACATGAATTGGTGAATTTTATGATCATATTTCATAATTTCAATCATAGTAACGCTTCCAGAAACTGACCTGCAGATGGAGGGAGGGGACACTGGAATAAAACAAGAATCAGGTATCTCAGATAGGTAAGGGTTAACAATTATCCCCACGTCAATTCTTTTTAAACAAAGTAAATAATTTCCTGTATTAGATTGTCCAGAATTGCAGAAATGAAAATAGGTTTTACTTGACTTGTCTAATATTTTTGTATTGAGTTTATTTTAAAATTTCGTTTGACACACACAAACGTATTAAGTTTGATTTGAAGAAAAATTGTCACATTAAAAAGTTAGGGTGGGAGTTGAAAAAAATAATTCTGCACAAAAAGAGATTGTAAAAAAGGAACTTTACACACTTGAAAGCGAAAAAAAACACACAGCAATTCTAATGAAAAAAACAATTTCAGAGTTCTACCCCAGAATTTTATGATCAAAG